ATATACACACACACACACACACACACACACACTACTCACACTCCTTCAGAATGTGTCCCAGCCATCAGTATGTCCTGGTGGTCTGTCTCCACATCCAGCTCAGGCTCTCTGTTGTCCATCAGCTTCAGATTATAGATGATCACAAGAGTTCCTTTTAACAAATTACAACAAAACGCATCACAATTATTATCAACCATGTCAATCACCAATACTAAAGCTTGTGAAAAACTACACAAAAAAATGTTATTTGTAGACAAAGAGATAACTTCATCCACAGACAATTTAAGCACCACTCTCAGGAGATGCCTTTTAATTTTAGAGTGATAAGTCAGTAAATCCTCTCAAAGTGGTGGCAATGAATCTGACTAATTGATAGACGTAAAGATTTTAATCTTGGAAACGCATTCATGTGCTTACCACTGCTGCTTTCTATTTTGTTGAACTGCTCCATCAGCTGCTTCTCGTTTTTAAAAGGCGAGTATTTGAAGATCAGCTCAGTCTCTATGGCATATTTCTCTGGATCAGAGGTCAATGGCTCCTTGGTCTTCAGATCCCAGGAGGGTAGGGGCACTATCACCTGAAGAGAGAAGATCAAAAGCCTTAATCACAAAAATCCAGAGAGGTTTCAGTTCTAACAAAAGACCAATGTGGTCTCGTGGTGGAATTAAGTTATAAACCTAAAATATATTTAAAAAAAAGACTAAAGCACCTTATAACATAACTGACAAATATTAAGTGGAAGCAAAACTTAAATAAATTTAGAAAACCACAAATCCACCAAGGGATGTCACAGCATTATAATAGAAGCATATTGAAAACCCATCAAAAGAAAAAAACCTGTTTGTCTGCGTTAGTAGCAATATGGCAACATCATTTGTTTGTGTGCACACAATACATCACAATTGACAAAATGTCAAAACTATCAATTAAGCACATATACAATGAGTAATCAATTAATCTGTTACTTGTACTCATCCCTAGTACAAAGGGCCTCCTATTAAATAGCTTTATCTATCAGTTGAATCTGACCTCATCTAGTCCCTCCTCTTCATGGAAAGTTCTTGACAGGAACAAGCAAGTCAGTGTGTCACCCTTTTTTGTGAACAAGATGAAATCCTTCCCAATACGCATAGAGCCACTGAGAAAAAAAAGACACATTTATGTGAACATTTTCAGACATTGCTGTACCAACTGCATGTTGAACTGGGCACAGGTCTTACGATTTCAGTCCATTTCCATACTGGCCAATCTGAGTGGACTCAGGCGACCGTTTGTTCGACTTTCCAAACTGAATGACATGGGTTGCCTCATCTTAAAAAGATACATTTCACACACAAAACACATCAGAAAACCTCACAATGGATGCACACTAAGTAGGGCTGCACGATTAATCCTTTCCTTTTGTGGGCGTGATTTAGATCCCTGTGCAATCTCAAGTCTCATGTGACAATGATTCTGCCGTGTTTGCACCGGCATTGAGATGACTTGCATCAAACTAAGCACTCCCCTTTCCTCGCTAAGCTGTGTTAATCAATAACCGCAAAGTGATTTATTTCTGCCTCAAATGCTCCTCAGCGTTAGATGCACAGGGCAGGCAGCGCAATGTCTGAAAAATAATTGCAGGAGGGCACAGAATATCTTTCATAATATCAAACACATTGGATTTGTTTTTGGCCTGAGCTATCCACCTGCTGTATAGGCACACATGTAGAACTTTTACTGGTTTCTGCTATTGGTTAACACATCTTAGCAAGGAAAAGAAAGGTTTACTGCAAGGCATCTCCCTGCAAATGCAGATACAGCAGAATCATTGTCACGCGAGACTGATATCACACAGAGATCTAAATCACGATCACAAAACTATTAAACGTGCAGTCCTAAAACAAAGCATCTTTAAATATGAACAATAAACACTTAAAGCTTCACATGATTTTAAAGGTAATAAAGCCACACTTACTAGGGTCCATTCCAGTACCATCATCCAGAAAACAGAGCATGTAGCCTCCCCGCAGCTCTGGCTTTTTCTCTGTGAGAAAACCATGAAGGTGAAACAGATACAAGGAGCAACAAATGAATGTGTAGGCTTTTGTGTGTGAAACGGGATGAGTTATTCTGATGTGTACCTGTGTAGATGTCGATTCGTGTGGCATTAGCATCTCTATGAAAGAAGCAAACCAACTGTGAGACTACTTACTAGAAGAAAGATGCCAGTAACATTCAACAACTATAGCCACTGTTGCAAGTCATTATGGCTACCTTGAATTGTCCACAAGCTCCGCCAACGCTCCAAACAAGAACTCATGGGTTGTCCTGAAAAAAGATCACTGGTTTCATTAATTCAATGTATTACATACACTATTCAATAAGTATTCAAACTATGCAGAAACATACTGACAGTATATAAACTCAACTTTATTATTCTGTATGGGAATGTTATTCAGCTATAAGCTGTATTTTTTGACATCTATAGACAGACATAAAAATTACATTAACCGGCTCACTGTAAACCACTCATTCTGACATCTCCTTAAAAGGACAGACAGACGTATCCTAACCACAGCCACTGAGAGGGTTGTTACATGAAACATGGGCCTTTACTCATGCCGTACCTAAAGCTTTTTCTCCATTACTACTTACTGACATCTTCTTGTGACAGAACAACAATGAAGACTACTCACTTTGAGTATGTTACACTTGCATTAAACATCTTTTCCAGGAACATTAAATGATTATTTGCCAATTTTTTTCTGATACCTATTCATCATTGATTCCCTCGAGTGTCAAATGTAATGAGAAATGCCCAATAACTAACTAAAAATGAACTGTATTTGTTTCAATCCTTATTTGGTTTTAAACCCTTCCTGGACATGGAAATGATCCCAGGATGTGATATCATCAGTGTTTCTTCCAACATGGACTAAGCCTTTCAGTCAAGCTATATCAAAAGAAAAATGTTCAAAATGTCAATATTTGTTTTGTAGCAATGGCAGAGGTGATCTTGGCCATCTCCACTTCTCCAGAGCACATGCATTATTGCTACTGCCTTTTAAAACCCATTACAATAAATGCTGTGAAACATGACTACGTGACTTCTGTAAAGTGCGACTTTCAGCATTCACATAGTTTCCCTGTTTAACCATTGTGACCATTGTGTGTGTTACATGTGTGTATTACATTGTGTGGACCAATTTTTATGCCATCATTTTGAGGATATTTTGGTTTTGTGAAGATATTTTAACTGGTTCTCACAACTTCAAAGACCTTTTTGATGGTTAAGATTTGATTCCGAGGTAAAGTTAAAATTAGGTTTAGGTTAGTTGTCAGGAGATGGGTTGGGTTAAGCATTTAGCTGTGAAAGTTAAGATAAGGGTAAGCAGTTAGGGAATGCATTTTAGCAATAAATGTCCTCACAATTACAATAAGAAATGACTGACACCCAATTACTGGATCTCATCCCCTTAGAAAGTACAAATATCTCTCTCTCTATACACACACAGTCTTTATGTGTAACATACACAATATAGTTAATTGTAGCTGATACACATATCTATAAGAATCACAAAATAAAAGTGGCGAAATGAGAGTATACTGTGCTGTCTTTGATTAGATGATTAAATTTAACATAATTAAACTAGATCATCTATTCAAAGAAAGAAAGTCACTTTCGGCTTTTCCCGTTTAGGGGTCGCTACAGCGAATCGTCACACTGATGACTTGCATGTTGACATTTGGCACGTGTTTTACGCTGTATGCCCTTTCTAACGCAACCCTGATTCGAACCCGCCTTAACCACTAGTCTACCAGGGACGGCTCAGATCATCTATTCACAGGACCTTATATATTAATGTTGGGGCAGTTATCTGTTGTAGTGACTCAGCCATCTGCAGATTTTGCACAGTATTCACATTAAGGAGCCCATGGCATGCTTTTCTTTGTTTTCTGACTTATGTACAATATTACAACAGTGAATCTACAAGTCTCACATACTCGCTCGTGAGACTTTTTTTTCTAACAGTGTGATTGTTTAAGGATCTCCTTGAATGGTCATAATCTCTAGGCAGTTGTGTGTTCATGTGAGCTTGCCTGACATCCACTGGTGCCTACGTAGCCTATTTGTCAATGTTTTTTGTTCCCCATTGAAAATGTGTTTCATCTATTCAAAACTGGGTTTCATGTAACAACCCTCTCAGTGGCAGGTGGTTAGGATAACGTTAGGATTCAGGTTAGGGAAAACATCTCGATGGGGAAACAGATTTCGACATAAAAAGCACCAGGAGTTGTGCACATTCACAAACTATCCTCTCATTTTTTAGGAAGAGGCTCTCGGGTTTTATCGTTCTGAAACAATTACAAACTATTTGGAGTTAAGCTAATCTAGAGGTACCCAAGATTATATAGTTGGAAATGAGTATGCCACGGGCACTTTAATGAGCTGCCAATATATTATGTATTATATGTAGTTGGTGATCTGTAATATTAGCTTTCACAAGCCCTTATGTATACTGTATTCTTAAGCACATATTAATGACCAAAGGGCCAGTACTTACGAATTTGTGTGCAGGTACTCAAAGGTGAGCTGAGCCCTGCTCAGGCTGCTGTAGCTGGAGTAGGCCATGACCACTTACAGTTATTTCCTCTTTACTTTCTGGTCTCCTGTTTGTCTTCTTCCTGATCAAGCTCCACTCAAGAGCGTTGATCCTAAAAATGGAAGAAATCGATACTGTATATTTGCCAAACATTACAGCCATTAATTTACATCCCAGACATGATCTGATATCAGCTGATGTAGAGGTTTTACAACCACTCATAGAGAAAAGCTTAACACCCACGGCTAATTTAAATTCTCGCCCAGGTGAGGGCTACCACGTGGGAGGCCTACTTGGAAACAACAACATTTAGGGCGAAGAGCAAAGAGCGCCTTCAGGCACGATGTTAGCTATACAGACAGCCTTTATTCAGAAGTCATTTACTCGTCTAGCTAGGTTTGTATGAACTGGTCATGTTTACTGGAGAGCATAAGATATTAATATGTCAGACGTTATGCACCAATTGTTACTAAGGTTAAATATTAGGCTAATATAGGTATCGTTAGCTAGCAGACATTAGCGTTTTCTATAGACTGTTTATACGGTAACGTTAGCTAGCTAGCTTCACACTGTGGAAGAATTTAGCTGGCCTTAGCCGTATAAAGTAATTTTCAACAACTTTGCCGACCGTTTTCATATGACAGCGAGCTCACCGTGGCGTCACACTAGTGTGATAATCCGTCCAAGTAGGAATAAATACTTTATAACGTTACGTTTCCTTCTTCCCAGACATACAACAGCCTACCAGGCCGCGAAGCATCCAGCCGCTTCGACGTTGGTTGCTTAGCTTCCCTCTGCTCAGTCTGCAGTAATCCCGCCTATTTTGCAATACTCAGCCAATAGGAAAGTACCATGTAAATATCTTAACGACGATTGGAGGAGAAACCTTGCTACGTAGACTGAATATATAATCGATGTACTAATCTTTAGCAATAGTTCCTTCCTTCGTCGGACTGCATTTTTGTATGCAACCCGTACCTTTTGGATCATATATTATTCACATGTGTAAGTGGAAATGCTGATTTACATTCATTCAGGTTGGTGTAAAGACGTCGCAGTACTGGAAAAACTTAACTCAGACTTAGAAGCACTATTCCTAAAGTATAGATCATTTTATTCACCGAGAGAAAATAACTTATTTATTGTAGCTAGAGTGTACATCCGTCCACAAACAATGCTGAACAGAAGACTAGCATAGAACATGGACACCCAGAGTCCCTACTCGCCGTCTTTTTTAGAGGGCAAAGCTCAGCCACGAGCTGCCAAGATACAGACAGCACGCCAGGTGTCCCACCAGAAGCAAAAATATGTAGAAACTAAAAGTTCCTAAAGACCGTGACCACAGCAGTGACGAAGTGGACCAGAGAGGCTAGAACAGAGACCTGCTTCGACAGGACTAGACTGCACAGGCTAGAGTGTTTCTGAAACGGCTACTACAGATAATCATGGACTTACTGACATCATACATCCCGTTTTTGCGAGGTGACTCTGGGTATCTTTGTTCTATGCTAGTCTTCTGTTTTGTGTGTGCCCACTAAGACATTCCAGACATACAATAACAAGCAGCCCTGGTTCACAACTAAGCTCAGACAGATTCACCACGCCAAGTTAGAGGCCTTCAGGAGCAGATCAAGAAGGCTGAAGAGCTGAATCTGTTCTACTACAGATTTGAGATACAGAACCCCACACCTCTGTCCCCAGTCAGCAGCTGCTTCCTCCATGACCAGGAAGTCACCAGGCTTGGACAGCCTAACCCCCTCCTTCCTGAAAACCTGTGCTGTACATCTAGCCTCCATATTCACACAGATATTCAAAAGATCACTGGAGTTCTGCTTAATCCCCTCCTGCTTCACACACTCCACCATCATCCCAGTCCCCAAGAAACCTGCTGTCAATGGATTATAGTGTCTATAAAAAGCATTCACCCCCTTGGATGTTTTACCCTTTTATTGATTTTATAAATCAATCATGGTCAATATAATTTGGCTTTGCCAAAAGCAAAAAACAAAACAAAAACACTTTAATGTCAAAGTGAAAACAGGTTTCTAGAAGGTAGTGTCAGTTAAATAAAGACATGTAATGTGAAATAAATGATTGCATAAATATTCACCCCCTTCAAGTCAGTATTTAGTAGATGCATCTTTGGCTGCAATCACAGCACTGAGTCTGTGTGGATAGGTCTCACTCAGGCTTGCACATCTGGACCCTGTAATTTTACTCCACCCTCCTTTGCAAAAGTGCTCAAGCTCTGCTAGGTTGCACAGGGATCGGGCATGAACAGCCCTTTTCAAGTCCAGCCAGAAATTCTTTATTGGATTGAGGTCTGGACTTTGACTCAGCCACTCCAGAACACTCACCTTGTTGTCTTTAAACCATTTCTGTGTAGCTTTTGCTGTATGCTTTGAGTCATTGTCTTGCTGGAAAATAAATCTTCTACCAAACCCTAGTTCTTGTGCAGACTGAAAAAGATTGTCCTCCAGGAGTTTCCTATATTTTGTTGCATTCATTTGACCCTCAACCTTTACAAGCCTTCCAGGGCCGGCTACCGAGAAGGATCTCCACAGCATGACGCTGCCACCACCGTGCTTCACAGTGGGGATGGTGTGTTTGTGGTGACATGCAGTGTTTGGTGGTGTCTTGTCTGATGGCCAGAAAGCACCATTTTGGTCTCATCAGACCAAAGAACTTTCTTCCACTTGACCACGGAGTCTCCCACTTGCCCTTTGGCGAACTCGAGTCGAGATTTAATATGGGGTTTCTTCAACAGTGGCTTTCTCTTTGCCACTCTCCCATAAAGCTTTGACTGGTGAAGAACCCAGGCAGCAGTTGTTGTATAGAGAGTCTCTCCCATCTCGGCTGCTGAAGCTTGTAACTCCTTCAGAGTAGTCATAGGTGTCTTGGTGGCCTCTCTCGCTAGTCTCCTTCTTTCACGGTCACTCAGTTTGTGAGAACAGCCTGATCTAGGCCGATTTAGACATGTGCCATATTCCTTCCATTTCTTGATGATGGATTTAAGTGAACTCCATGGGATGTTCAGTGCCTTGGAAATTTTACTTTACTTTTTTGTATCCATCTCTTGACTTATTCTTTTCAATAACCTTTTCTCCAAGTTGCTTGAAACATTCTTTTAACGTCATGGTGTAATGGTAGCCTGATTAACCAGTGACTGGCCCTTTGAGACACAGGTGTCTTTATACTACAGTCACTTGAGACACATTCACTGCACTCAGGTGATCCCCATTTCTGTAATTGTGAGACTACTAGCACCAATTGGCTGGACCTCTGTTGAATTAGGTCAGTCATTTTAAAGGGGGTGAATATTTATGCAATCACTTATTTCCCATTACATATTTTTATTTAATTGACATTACGTTGTAGAAACCTGTTTTCACTTTGACAGGGGCTCCTTAAAGGATCTGTACACCTCAAGTCAAGAGAAGGGCAGAGAAGATTTCTGCAGGCCCCTCACATCCAGGACACAAACTATTTAGACGGTGCTACAAATTATTGCATGCCAAAACAACCAGACACAAAGACAGTTTCTTCCCCCGCACCACCACTCTAATGAACAGATAAATATGTCTCTAACCATGACTGTATGTCTATAATCATCACCCTGATGAATAGTTAACCAGGACTGCAGTAATATGACCATAGTGCAGTAAACTGTGCATAGAGCCCACTACAGGTACCAGCCTGATAGCTCAAATATACAAATGTATATAATATAATTTTGCTTGTGTATATAATGTTTGTCTGTTGTTGTCAGTTGCCTGTTGCCATAACATACTGAGAGACTCTGCGCCTGAGACAAATTCCTTGTATGCTCAACATACTTCGCGACTGAAGCTGATTCTGATTTACAGATGGGAAAAACATTTATAGCATTTGTCAACTGGTCATAATTGACGGTATAGCCCTGTTTTACCATTTATGATGTAAACAGTGGCAGAAAGAACACTTTACCACAATTCTTGCTATGGTCAATGCTTTGTTCAAAATGTTGGCAGTAGATTGCTCCTTTTTATTTCCAAAACAACTTAGAAATATCAGCAATGGGAGAGGAAGGGAGTAAGTTTTAGTGTGTAACAAACTTTCTTATCTAAAAAATGTCAAGGCTTGGGGCACACAGTTCTAGTCTTCAGTCAGTACGACTGTTTAGTTTAGTCTTTATTTTAACAGACTGTAGGTGGATGGAAACACTGCATTCAGAGAGTCCTCAATGTCCGATATGTAAACTAAAGTTGTGAAACAGGACCTTTGGTCCAATAAAGTTTAGCAGAACATACAGTATGTTCATAGCAATACAGTATATTTTACAACTTTCACCATTTAAAAATGTTAAAGATTTTTGGCTGGAAAAACTTATTTTCAACATATTTAGTTACCAGTTAATGTCTACAGGTTATTGAGAGTAAATCTCAGAAATAAGGGAAATAAAGTAGACAAGGCAGAAAGCAAATAACTCCTTACACCATGGTCCCATTAAATAATATACACCTACTCTATCACAACCTTGTCTCTCATTTGGATAATTTATAATATTTCAGTCATTTATAACTGTGATGCTCCACTGATATAGCATTGCACAAATTGGAAACTTTGATTTTAAAAATAGTCAAAATCGATGCAACAGAAGCTGAAATATCCTGATTTTTAGTCCCTTTCTCTGAGTTGTGGTCAAAAATCATTGAATACTACATAAATATTTAATCTCCAAACCCAAGCTGAGAAAACCCTAATGGCATCACCAGGTTTAATTTCTCAAACTTCAGAAAGTCCCTCCAGCGCTACAGAAGACATTATACAACTGTCTGCAGACTGTGTATTTCTTCCCGTTGCATGTAAACTGGTTTTTGTGAGTAAAACTGGTCAGGTGCCACTTTAAAAGTTGTAATCCACATAGTACATATTGCTCTATCAACCACCTGATTTCTTCAGGATGCAGAGGATAAAAAATGTTCACGTGTCCATCAAGGGCTTCTGCAAATAAAGTAGAGCAGTAACATTAGGTTGAACATGTCTACACATTTCTCAGCATGCTAAGATACTCTATATTAATTAAGGTAAACAGAGCCAAAAAACAAAATGGACAAAGCAGTAAGTGACATAGTAATATAAGAGTTGACTTACTTTTTGTAGATCCATTTCATTCCAGTGGTGATGGCGTATATGTGAATGTGTCAGACTAGTAGCTAAACAAAATATCACACAAACTGTGAGCAGACAAAAACTGGCTTCCAACAGATGTCGCTCTGCCACCCTTTGCTCATTCTGAAGAATGAAAATAGAGAATTACTGGCAGGGTGAAAAGAGTGCATCTGTATAATGACTGAGCAAAATACGTTTCTCATGTGTGGCACTGTACCTCTGTTAACATGACTGTGAGTGTAGGGTCATTCTCATACTGCAGATTGTAGCAGACTTGTGATGCTGCAATCAGCTGGTTTCTCACTTCCACATGGACGAGTGAAATATTTTTCTCAGACACAGGACACTCTGGAGGAAGTCTTCATGAAAGTATACAGTATGTGAATAAATACATACAAAACAAACAGGTACATACATACCTAGTTGTTAAAGAAGCTTTGAAAAATACACTTTAGAATGTGAATGAACTTACAGGCTCATGGGCAGGAGGTGTGCTGGGGCATTTATGGTGAGGCAGGTGTGGCTACTATTTCCAGGCAGAAACTCTAGTGTCACATTAACAATCTCATTGCCTGGGGAGTAATGTAATCACTCATGGATGAGAATGTACAGTTGTACAGAATTTTAATTTATTTCACAACATAACCACTCCACTGCAAAAACCAACCTCCTATATTTAGCTGACTGGCGCTCAAGGTAGTGTGCAGACCAATGTCCTTCAGAGAGCCGCTGGCTGAGCTGGTAGTCACAGCCAGAGGCACCTTGAGATGCAAATGAATGACAGAAGAAGTCATCTTTGTAAACGTAACTGAGGTTTCTCTATCCTTTTCCTGCTCCATCAGACGAGAGGGAACTGGCGAGACAAGCTCAGATGAACTTTCATTAACTTTCATACACAGCTGGAACTGTGATAAGGAGGACAGTAGATGGTTCCAGTCCTAAGAGAAGAAGAAATCATAGGATTTACACATCACCATTGGCTCAGAACACAGAGAAGTTCATGTATAAATGCAGTCACAACATACACATTGTTTCCATACTCATTGTCTGAGGATTGCATGATACCTGAGCTGCAAACACTGGCAGCAAGAATTGCTAAACATTTGCATTTGTGAATCAAATCAGTTCTAAATTACAAAGGATTGCATGACAGTTTTGACTTTCCAAAATGCACTGGATAAATGAATCCTTACCTGTGTTATGTCAGGGTTAGGCAGAGTGTGAGTGTAGCTGTAAGAGCTGAGGCAGATGAAGGAGATAGTCAGAGTCAGTAGACACAGGAAAAATGTTACCCCTGGAGGATTATGAGATATATAATCTCTAAGGTTAGTCACTGGCTGCCACAAACCCATCATCACACTCCACATACACTTGGGATGCAGCAAGCTGTAAACAGAAGAGAATCACTTTAGTTACTGCTTTGACAGTTTTTCTCAACACACTACCTTTGATTGTGCTGGTGGGTCTGTCATTGGTGCCTGTTTGTGAATTTATCCGTTTAAAGGAGGGTAAACACTTATGTTCAACCAAAAACAATCTGTTCAAGATAATTTCATTTATACACTCTTCTTCTTCTTCTTTTGGCTGCTCCCATTAGGGGTCGCTACAGCGAATCACCTGTTTGCACCTAACTATCTTCGGCATCCTCTACTCTCACACCAATTAACTTCATGTCCTCTTTTAGCACATCTATATATCTCCTCTTTGGCCTTTCTCTTGACCTCTTGCCTGGCAGCTCCATCTCCATCATCTTTCTACCAGTATAACCACTATCCCTCCTCTGCACATGTCCAAACCATCTCAATCTGGCCTCTCTGACCTTGTCCCCAAAACAGCCGACCTGAGCTGTCCCTCTGATGTGCTCATTCCTAATCCTGTCCATCCTGGTCACTCCTAAAGAGAACCTCAACATCCTCATCTCTGCCTCTTGTCTTTTCCTCACTGCTACAGTCTCTACCCCATACAGCATAGCTGGTCTCACTACTGCCATACTGCTGCTCACAGATATCCACTTCCTTTCTTAGCCTAGCTTCCACTACTCTTTCCTATAGCTTCATTGTGTGGCTCATCAACTTTATACCTCTGTAGTTGCTATAACTCTGCACATCACCCTTGTTCTTAAAGATCGGCACTAGTACACTTCTCCTCCATTCCTCAGGCATCTTCTCACTCTCTAAAATCCTGTTGAATAAACTAGATAGAAACTCCACTCTTCATTCTCCTCAATTTCATTTATACACTGTTCATGTTTAATTCAGGCTTTCAGATACTTCTTAAGGTGTCTCTAGCTCTATTTAAGCATAAACCGAGATAAAACAAACTGCAGGACGACGGAAAACATTAGATAAATGTAACGTTAGTCGAAACTACAGATCCGCAAGAGAAGTATAGCTTATTTAACGTTAGATATATGTATACAATAACATATGTTTTGACCCATATAGTTCAGGCAACCAGCTGCACTAATGTTGGGATGAAGTCAGTGTAATAACTAACTAGCTAAAAAAAACATTCATACCTTGCATTTAAGCAGTCTTCTCTGACCACGTCACCAATCTTGGGAAAAACACGATGACAGATAATTTTATCAGTGGTAATTAATCTAGAGTTTAACATTTAGGACACGACAGCGCTTAGTTTACGACTACATCCATGGTTTACGACAGTGCAGCGCTATGACGGTGGCAGTGACGTTGATCACATGACCAACGCCTGGTGCTAAGTCGAGCTAGCGCTGTGATTATTATTTTATTCAGTAATACAGGGTATTTTTAATCCCTAGTTAGTTTTCGCCCATCCTGCAGATTTATGGCACTGACACAAGACACTTTATTACCATGCCTGTGGTCTTATTTTATGGCTTCCCTCGATAATTGTTGCAACAGCTACATATTCAGACATGATTACTGGAAATTATGTTTGTCGTGTATTGCTGGGATGGTACTTCTCATCAAATTACCCTAGATCTTTATTAGACCTTTTTGGTAAATGATGTTTGGTGGCTTCATGTAATTTCTCAGTATAACTCCACCCAGCTTCAAATTGAGCAGGATCTAACTTAGAATACTGAACACCTGTACAGGTGTGCAGTTGTATGTCTTGACAAAATGTTAAATCTGGGCAATAACACAATTATATATTTTTTAAAAAGGCAACTATCAGGATTCTGTTTATTTATCCTTATGCTGGTTTACTGTTTTGCACATTGAGAGCCGATGTACCTGAGTCAAATTCCTTGTGTGTCCGTCACACCTGGCCAATATAGCCGATTCTAAATCAATGTAAAAAAATACAGACAATGCATCAAATCAGAATAAAGTATTTAACTCATGATCAAGACATCTGCGTTTACTGTGAAAGAAACTTCATCTGTAGGCTACTTGGTGATTTCTCCAAAGAAAGGTGTAGTCCTATGAAAATATTTCATAGCTCCTATAAGATATCAGAATTTAAACAAGTGGAATGAAAAAATATTCACACATTTAGTATGAAAACTAAAAATCTTAAAAAAACAAAACGTAAAAATCAGACAATCTACAGCAGAAGTTTCAACTTTACAACAAGGTTGTAAAGTTGATGTTGATGATGATCATGTTACCCCACATTCAAAACTCTTTAAGCTTCTGTTCTTTAACTATGCAAATAACATCATAATACTGAAATGCTTCCAGAATATCATCAACCCTCTCCTGAAAATCAATAACATGACTGTTGTGTTTATAGAAGACATGGCACACTGAATTAAAGTACCATTTCCCTTTGTTCAAACTTCAAGCAGCACAGCTGGCAACATTTACATTTATCTTGTTACTTGTATATACATTATGACAACAATTAAGGTGTCCAGATGACTTTTATAGGCTTGAATGCCCAAATATCAGGGTGACCCATGTGTATCAAGTCTTTATAAGGAGAAGTGCTCCACTGGAAAGCAGGCACCTGATCCCAGGTTGGCCCGCTCACTGCCAACATGCCATACTCTTTGAACATCTCATAAGAGGTCATCTGCACACAGCAAAACACATAATACATCAGACAAAGCAAACATGTGTTACATAATGCATAAAAGTATGGGCAGAGAGAAATGGGTAATAAGTGATCACATGAAAAAGAAAAACCTTCATGTCTGTTCCCCCATGTGGTCTCTGCTTCAAGGCACCAAAGGGATATGTTCCATTAGCTGGGTTCAGGTCTGAACGGGCTGAGATCGCATTCTCCCCATTCGCAGGTGGATTACAGTGATCACACCTTGACAATGGGTCTTCCATAAAGTCATTATACCTGAGAAGAGACACCACAGCCAATCAATCCAGTTCATGATGCAAAGGTCCACCTCCAAACCTGTATAACAAACAGACCTTACCTCATGAGGCGGAGCATTGAGCCGACATCTGTGACATCTGTCTGGTTTCTCCTGAATATCTGAGCCCGAGGATTCTTGTCCAGAGAGAACCACGGGCCATACTTCTCAACCAGCTCGTTGCAGCCACTGGCATTAAATATTTCTACGTAGTACCTAGAAACATGAGCATAAATGAACAAAGTACATTTAAAATCAGAAAACATGCAACCATCTTTACATTATTGTTTCCTAACTGGATACTTACGGTATGTTGTAACTTGCCCAGTATCCTTTCTCCAGCAATTCCTGAGTTTTATCTTCATAAACAGTAAGTCCTCTTAAGGGTTACAAGATCAGAAAAGCTTATTATGGAGTGACTCAGATGCAATAGCTTTACGAGTGATCTGTCAAAATACTGAATTTATCATTTATTATAATTAAATATTTAATGCACAAGCTTACGGAATCTGCTCCAGCACAACAAAGAGCTCCTCTTTGATGTCAGTCTTCCCTGGAGTGAAGTGTTTATAGTCTACAATCATCCACTGGTTATTATATCTACAATGAACATACATGCAATTTTTAGCCCACTAGCTTTTTCAGATAATTATTAATTTACTGTATATTTATGTAACTAATACTGAAGAAACTGATTCAGCACTTCACTACAAACAGTCAGACCAATGGCATCATTACAGCTGTGTGACCCAGCTGACTGCTCATGTGACTACTTGTTGTTGATGGCTTTCTTCTGTTTGCTTTACTCTTATCAATCTACAGGACCATCTAAGGTAGCAAATCTAATCCTGTCACTGTTATATTGAACACAAGACAAAACGTAGCAGACAACAGAGTCTGGAACCTGTAGTGATAATGTTAGTTAAATGTAATGAGAGCCAGTTTCTTTCTGGTGTATGAAACTCACGTTCCACTGTTGTACTTGCGGAATAACTCTGCCCACTCCTTGCCAGAAACAGCCAGTCGATTAGCCACAATGTTCCTCAGCCATTCCATGACGGTTCCTTTAGGCTGAACAAACTTCCAGAGAGCAGGGTTACTGTTGCCAATGGTGGTTTCCAAAGTAACCTGCAGACACAAAATAGATTATGAACAAAAAAACTCCATCTAGTAAGTAATAACAACACATTTACATACTAGAGTTTGTTCTTTTAAATGTCAAACACTTAAGTCTCTCATGCCAAATGGGTAGATTCTCACCAAGCCACTACTCAGGATATAAAAGTCATCTCCAGAGAAGATAGATCCAGGATAAGATGAGAATGCCTGAATTCCTCCAGGAAGAAACACACTGTCTGACAAAAAAAGAAAAAGAAAAAAATAGAACTCATGATAATGTCAGACTAAGCAGTATTAACATGTCAGACAACAATAACACAGCCAGTCCACCACCAGGGTTTTCAAAGTCAAAAATAAAACGGGGTTTTATCTTATTGATATTGATCTCCTCACCAATAAAGCATATAAGCACATTTTTAATGTTGGACTATTTCTCAAATGTAAATAATGTGGGACTCTAGAACAGGAGCAATGATGAACAGGGGACAAACTTGCATCAGCAAACTACCTAGAGGAGAAACTTTATAGGCAAAGATGTATTTCTTTATGATACGCAGCATGGATTGGTAGTTGTTCCAGGTGTCGTGTGACACAAGCAATTCCTTATTGTTTGGCAGCAGCTTAATGAGAGCGGAGCATGAACCAGATCCAAGAGTTCGCATGGGGCTGGATTTGTTCAGAGCTGATTCCAAGTCCTCAAGATCCCCACCCAGTTGGAAAAGTCTGAATAGACAAAGCAGCAGTGGAGAATGTGAGACAAGCTTATGAGCTCATAGACAGCGACGAGACATGTCTGATTAACACAAAACAGAGACGATCACTTACAGGAAACCAAATGGGTTGAAGGACAGTGGCCCTGTTGGAAATGACAGCTCATCATTGTAGCTGTCCTCCAGACCCTTCAGCTGCAGCAGTGCCAGACGCACCTGATAAGAACGAACATCTCATGAAACATGTTTTGTATCAATTCAAGGGATTTTATTCATCCTACAAATGCTCAACAAGTACCTGGTACCAGTACGGTGAACTTGGCTGCTCCTTTATTTGTTCCTGAACCCACTGCATATTGGTTGAAATAAAAGCCCCAAGACGCTCGCAATAATCAGTCTCATTTGAGAAGGGTCCACAGTAGCCAATTAGAGTGTTCACCCAGTGCTTATAGATGAGCTACAACAGAGGCATATCAGGATTTCGGATTATTTACAATGCGATTAAATAAAATATTTGACTACTTGGTAAGTCAGGCACAATACAACCTGTAAAAGGAAGATTTCAGCTGACCTGGGATGTGACTGCAGCCTCCACTGCACCGGCAGCATAAGCCTGGATACTGTCATTGTACTGACTGCTGGTCGTGACCTCCAAGAAAGACCATCTGAAAAGAGAGCATGGGAATCAGTGAAAAAGATTAAATATCTTAGTACAGACTGAAATTTGTGATTCATATTTGTGGCACTCAAAATATACATTTAAGGACCAACTGTAGGTTTGGAGATGTCAGAGGGCGTAGAGTGTACCAACAATTACTCAGAAAAACAGATGTAATCCTCCCACACTTGTCTCAACTAAAACTATTACAGGCATTGTACAGTAGGAATCAGTGCTGTGTATTTTGTATTTTTCACTTCCTTTTTGTAAAACCGGAACTGACCCGTATTCACTGAGATGCAAAGACAATTATTTTTGTCTATCATTTGGTTATTATATTGTGTTACTTTAAAGTACTTGTCCATTTCTTCCTTAAGTTACTGTCATCTGATTATTGTATATTGTTATTTTTCTCCATTTCCTTGTATTTATATGAACCTTTATTAAATGAATCTATATTGTTTAACTACTACTCTTAATTTGCAGAGACCCGCTATAAACTATTAGCTATTATAAACTCTCCTGTCATGAGTTTTACTTCTGCTGTTCGATTGTTTACATAAGTAAAAGTAGCAATACAACTGTGTAAAAATACTCTGCTACATGTAAAAGTCAATTCTGTACATCACAGTTAATGTCCCAGCCAGTAAAGGGAGAGCTAATGTTAACTGCCTTATACTGTATGCTTATACTTCGAAGTACTTTAAATGCTGCAGAGTATCTTGTGAATTTCCCATTAGGGACTAATAGTCTTACAGCGTAATTTAACTAATCTCAGTATGAAAAGCAACTACTTCTTTGAGCTGCAGAGCTACACAGGCCGCAAGGCTTTCCATTTTATACTAATGACAAAGGTGAAGAGTCCCTACTTAACACAAATTAACGAACTCACCCTGATGTTTCAATGTCGTCGGTGAAGTTCGCCCAAGCCACAAAATCTTCTTGGTATCCTTCCAGGACAGAGAGCTGCCCGGTTTGTTTGTCAATAATAGCAGTTTGAATTTCGGCTCGTACAGACGTACATAAGAAGCATAAACCGGACAAAATTACCAAAACATTTAAAACAGTTGTAAAACTCCCAACCGAAAACATTATCTTCAATCTGGATGCCATGTTAACGTATGAAAAGGTCACATGACAACGCGGGTGACTGGTCACCTGACTATACCATACTATAACCTAAATAATACTTTCAAAATAAAAGACCCCACCTACTTATTCTATTTTTATTGGTCATCCACTCCCACAGACACAACATTAGATATCAACACATGGCATTTGAATAATGAAATAAAATTTATGTAAAAACTGACATTCTTGTGTATGTTTTGTTTAATCATTCTCTACAAAAGTTACTGTCTTTCAACAAACACCATTCATTACAAGTTGATCACTCTGGAGATACCATTCAGGCACATATTTGTTCACAGATCTATTCACACAGCACAAATACAAGCACTGGTCCGATGGAGACATTTAGAGAACTCAGTCTTCCACACCCCCTTCAGTTTCCATTGTTCCCAGGATACCCTCCAAAACTTCTGTCTTCCGCTGCTTTTTGGCAGCCACTGATGTGGAGAATAAATTACATCTTAGAAATATATTAATAAACAGCAAATTTGCTTCAAGCTTCAAGCAAAATATTCTATATATTGTTTTTAAAAATTGTAGTTTTACCATGAAAATGTTCGGTTGTTTTCCGTCTCAATGTCTCCACTGTGTCCTCAGCATCAGCCCACTCCAGCACAAGGCGTCTCCCATACAGATGTGTGCTGTGGCACAATGCTGTAAATGCTTTCTATAGAGAAAACAGGATCATAGGATTTGTGGCCATAGCATAATACTGCACAGTAGCACTAGAAGACTATATTCCTAAATATACATCTAAAGGCTAACATCACCTTAAAAAAACAAACCTTAGCATCTTGTTTGGTAAGGAAATCAACAAAACCAAAGCCTCTATGATTCCCTGAACCAGCTGCTTTCTTTGGAAGACGGACAGTCTTCAGCTCTCCAAATGTACTGAGAGAAGGATGAAACCACAGAATTATTAAATGATCTTTCTCCACTCAAGTGTGAGTAAAAACAGTTATGTGTATGCGACTGCTACCAGAAGAGTTCTCGAATTTCCCTGACAGTGGCTTGAAAGGGAACATTGCGCACAAGGATCTTGGATCCCAACTGCTTTTTCTCAACTTGCTTCTTCTTGCGTGACACAGCAGTCGTCCTTCAAATAGAAAAAAGACAAAGTAGTGACAATAGTATTGAGGATCTGCCAAACTGCAACCTCAACTTACAGTATTCAAATATTTTAATCATTAACTGTCAATCTAAATGATCATTTCAGTCAGTACTAATTCAGATTGTTTTTTCATCACATTACAAGTTGTTATATAACTGTGATGCTTCATGCTGATGCAGATTTTTAAAACTACTATACTTATTACCCTTGCACAGATGTGAAATTCCAGACACCTTTTTGTAAATTTAATTATTAGACCACCATTTTTTTCTTCACTGCAGTCAATGTTCACTGAAACCCTTTTGAGGCACATCTTACTTTGTGGCTCTCTCAGAAATCTTCAGCTCTAACTGGTGATTGTCCACAGTGCAGTGCTGGTGGAGGGTTGAGAGAGGGAACATACATTAGCCAAGAACCAGAAAGTGCAGAAACAAAGTCAGAGTTTTAATGTGGACAACAGGATAGTACCTGTAGCTGCCTCAGGGCCTTCTGTGCAGCGTCTGCTGTCTTATACTGGACAAAACCATAGCCCATGGACAACAGCTTGCCTGGAAGTCAACACAACAATGTAGGATGATGGCTGACTCACCCATTGCTCTCACTATGAAAACACAAAATGAGAACATACCCCTAAAGCTAACTATACCCCAAAACCACAGAGAACAATACTCGCTTCTAACAAAATCCTGTGTTTAACTAAGTTATATGTAGATCAAAATTAACAATACTCCATTGTCTGTAATCATAAATTGGATGACTACAAAAACTGTGTCAGGTGACACTGTCTTTTTGCCACTGAACTTTCATTTGTAATCTCTCTCATAATTCAGCCTCAGTAAACTGAAATGTGAAAAGAGCTCTGGTCATATCACTGCCAAAATGTGTATAATCAGTAAAATAACACTAGTTTTGTATATTGACACATTTACAAAAACAAACATTTTCTAAAACCAAAGAGTAAATTATGGTTTAACCATAACAATAACTCAATTTGTCTTATCACATTAGTAATCTTTTCGAACAAATCAAAACAAATGTTTGCACAAGCGAAACCCCTCTAAATCAACCTTCAGTCCCTTTTCAAATGAGTGGTCCTAGTTATAATATTTAGTACCTGATTTATCTTTCTTCTTAGAGATGGTGCAGGATGTGACCTTGCCACATTTGGAGAATGTCTGCAACAAATGAAAGAAAAATTAAACATCAGTCTATGATTAACTGCACAAAATACAAGAGAGAGTTGTACTTATGAATTGACCTACTTCTTTCAGTTTCTCCTCTGTCGTGCTAAAATTAAGATTCTTAATAAAAAGCGTGGACCCTGGAGCAGATTCCTCTTCCTCTTCCTCCTCCTCTTCCTCCTTTTCCTCTTTCACTTCCTCCTCTTTGTCTAATACTTGGTTAGACAGATCCAATATACATTGTGTTTATTCACATTATCCCTTTCACATCTGAAAATATTAACCCTGAAATACAGTATATTGTCAAGTTTAGGAGAGTGTTTGTGTGTTTGAGGGATTTTACCTGGCTCTGGTTTGGCTGTCACAAACACTCTGACAGGTGCCCACTCCAAATACAGCGGGACATGATGGAACTAGGTTTTTGGAGATGAATACTAGTATTTAGTGTCCCCAGTCATCATACATTGTATCTCCAGGTCATGCATGTAAACACACCTTGCTGTAGGCCAGCCTTGTGAAGGCTCGTTTCGCTTCAGTTTGCTCCAGGAACTCGACAATGGCGGTGAGTCCTGAAGGCGGCAGCAGCACTCGGCCCAAAGAGCCATGGGGTGAGAAGAGTGCCTCCAGCTCTGACACAGTCACTCCAGCTGGAAGGTTTTTCACCAGGATCACAGTTGTACTCCTCTCTGCTGCTGCCTGCACAGCGGTGGGCACAATCAGGGAACAATCAGAACGTAACTGGATGCCGACAAGTATTTATAAAGGGTTTAGCAGGAAGTAAGGAGGGGTTTTAATTAATCTTACTTGACTAAAGGAATCCAAGCTGACATCATTGTCTAATAGGAACTGTCGAGTCTCCTGGATTATCTGTGTCTCTCCCAGAGCCATCCTCACTGCAACACTTCCCTTTGATTCCTGCAGAACAGAGTAAGGACCACAGAAGCTGAAGGTGTACATACTTCATAATTCACATGCTGCTGTAATTGCACTAGATGTAAGACACATACTGTAGTTGAAAAGTATGTATGAGAAGCATACATTTCGAAGAGCAGGATGTAGTGCCACTCACATGATCAAGGACTTGGCTTTTTGTGGTGTTGTATTTTTCAGCGATGGCATCTGCCACTGCACTTGTGCCAACAAACAGCGTATTCCAGTTGTGTGAGCTGGAAAGAAGAAGAAAATTCATGTAAATAAAAAGTAAACCATACACAGAGAAGCAAAGCATTAACGAGATCATGCACACCTGGAACTTGAAGCTCTATTTTTGGCATCTTTTAGTCGTTTGTAAGATGAAGAGCCAGAGGCACCAGCATCTGAGGATTCAGCCTTTTCCTTCTTCACAGTAGAGGGAAGCAGGTGAAGCATCCTGCCCTAAAAGCATGAGAGAAGGTCAAGTTTCCAATCAGCCTCTGTTGAACTTGTAAATCAAGCTGCACATCTAAATGCTGAGGCCATTACATGTCTTGTGCACAGCACAGAGATATCTCAAATATCAGTCAGCTCAAATACCTGAAATATATGTCCGTCCAGCTGAGCAAGAGCTGTCACAGCATTCTCTGGTATCATGTAGGTTACGAAAGCAAATCCTTTAGGTTTCTTGGTAAGACTGTCGATAGGGAAGAGCACTTCAGATAAAGGACCTGGAAAGATTAGAGAATTATAAAAACAGACAAAGGTTAATTTATTTTTTAAAATGTGTAATGAATATGTATGTTTTTTTTTAACTCACCCTGTTTAGAAAACAGCTCTTTGAGCTCTTCCTCAGTGCAGGTGTAAGGAAGGTTTCTGACAAAGATTCGACCTGACTCGGCAACATCTTCCTCCTCCTCATCCTCTTTGAGCTTCCTGGTGAAGTTTCTGTCAATGTCTTTGCCCTTTGTGTACCTCTTGCCCTTGCCTCCAAGGTTATCCACACGGAAGACCTCAATGTAGCGCCCCCCTGAAGAAACACAAGCAGAATCAAGACATCTTTTACATCCACCAATGGACAGTGATAATACTTACTGGTTAAGCTAAAATGTATGTTTTGGGCACACTAGTTTTCTTAATATAAAGATGTTGAACTTTATGTTGGGGTTTAAAAGTTACCCCAAGAATGGTCAAGTCCACAATCTTCTTCGCATTGTGATACAGTTTTAAACGGTGCTACTACATCCTAACACACCCATTAAAATACTCCCAAAAATGAGGAACAGAAATAAGACATAACATTTATCACCTATGTAGTCTTTATTCTTCTTCAAAGCCTTTTTCACCTCTTCTTCAGAGTGCAAGTCCACATATACATAACCTGAAACACACACAAGACACCTGTGCTTATACATGAGCCCGTATACAGTCTGTATAGGTATATATAGTACATACAGCTAAACCCTCAGATATGCAGTATGGTGTACAGCACACCCAGCCTATAAAATATTGTTAATGTCTGATAAAAACACATGAAGTGCAAATTCAAACGTGTTCAGCAAAATACCTGTTCTATTTCCACTTTCGTTCTTTCCAATCCGGATTGCTGCAGGCTTAAGAGGAGTCATGAACTCTCGAATTTGTTGCTATTAATTTCATTAAAAAAAAAAAAAAAGCACAATGTCACTAATAAACACACAATGTGTTTAAAGCACCTCTGAAATCAGTAAGCGCTTCCTGGTCACTTGCCTCTTTAACACTGAACGGGGCTCCTCTCAGCTTCACTGTGAACTCTGTTGTCGGCTCCGTCTGCAACAAACAGACTGGAGTGTTAAATAATACAAACTGAAAGTAAATACTGTGCCATACTGAATGGTAATATCTAACTGTAGGTTGAACAATCACCTCTTGCTTCCCAGTTTTCTTTGCTTTGCCCTTCTTGTTATCCTCAGAGGAAAATGAAGTTTTGGTCTTTGGGATGTTTTCTCTGTCACCACTCTCATAGTCGCTGTCTGTGTGCTGCACAGAACCACAGTCCGCATCCTCATCATCACCCTTCTCTTCACTCTCTTCCATGGTGTCCTCGGCCTGAGCCACCTTTGAGCGCAGGTACTCCATATCTGACAAGCCAGACTTCAGGGCTTCTTTGGTGGCACCTGAAAGTAACATGGGGCTCATATTTATACCAGTCCATCATACAGCTTTTTCTTTCATTTTCCATTCATACTGTATATTTCCACACTTGCAATATAACAACACAGATGCAAATTTGTTGGTTGCTTGTAATTTGGAACACACTTTCATTATTCTGTTGCAACTTCATTTGTACATCATATCTCCCGTTATTAATATTATTATTTGCAGTTTTATTTTATAAAATTTTATTCAAGTATGCTGGTATGACTCATTTATCTTACTATAATATGTACTGTATATTAGGGGTCCCCGGATCGGTACTGGTCCGTGGATCATTTGGTACCAGCCGCAAAGAAAAAAACTTTCGTGGTTA